GGTCTGATAGTGTTCTATGCATCTGTGGTGGCCAAACAGGGATTTCTCTGAAGCTTAGCCACGTGATGTAGGCTACCTAGTGTGGTTTCTGCCCTGGTGAAGCTCTGTAAATGCCTCAGGGGTCCTGTGCTGCGTTGGGACACTTTGCTCTTAAACACCCAGATGGCTTGAACCATTCATTGTTTTTCAGATTGTTGTCCTTTTGTCTGTGACACAATGTACTTTATATTTTTCCTGTTTTATATTTAGTCTCGCTTTTTGTTTTTATGCTTATGTTTATGAAAATATACAATATTTCAAATGTTTATTGAAATCAGAATTATTAGCTCCCCATTGAATTTTTTTTCTTTTTGAAATATTTCACAAATGATGTTTAAAAGAACAGGGAAATGTTCATGGTATGTCTGATAATATTTTTTTCTTCCGGAGAAAGTCTTATTTGTTTTATTTAGGCTAGAATAAAAGCAGTTTTAAATATTTTAAAAACCATTTCAAGGTCAAAATTATTAGCCCCTTTAAGCTATATTTTTTTTCCCAATATTCTACAGAGCAAACCATTGTTATACAATAACTTGCCTAATAACCCTAACCTGCCTAGTTAACCTTTGTTTAGCCTTTAAATGTCACTTTAAGCTGTATAGAAGTTTTTTTTTTAATATCTAGTCAAATATTATTTACTGTCATCTTTTCAAAGAAAAAATAAATCAGTTATTAGAAATGAGTTGATAAAAATATCATGTTTATAAATATGTTGAAAAAAATCTTCGGAAGAAATTGGGGAAAAACAAACAGGGGGCTAATAATTTAGGGGGCATAATAATTCTGACTTCAACTGTATTATTACAGTGTAAACAATTATATACAGTTAAAGGTAAAACTAGTAATCCTCCTGTGAAATGTTTATTATTTTTCAAATATTTCCCATGTAATGTTTAACAGAGAAAAACATTTTCACAGTATTTTCGATAATATTTTTCTTCTGGAGAAAGTCTTATTTCTTTTCATTTTAATTAAGCAATTTTAATATTTAAGAGGGCTAATAATTTTGAAATAAATAAATGTATATATTTATGTATATGTATATATTATGTATATATGTGTATATATATCTATGATAATATAAATCAAGTAATAAACATACAAGAATACAATTTTATTGTAACTTTTGGACTTTATTCTTGTAATTTTGAAGTTTGAAGTTATACTCGATATTCTCATAATCTTAGATTTTTTTTAGTACATGGCATTAAAATGCTGTAAAATGTTGGCATGTTTTCTTTGTGTCATATAATTTTATTACACATAACGCAACGATTACTAAAGTAATCCTTGTTCCTTGTTTCTTGTTTTCTAGCTGAAAGAGCCTTTTACGGCTAACAGCTAAGGGGCAATCATTGTGGCGAAGGAACATAGCATAAGCAAAGTTACTTTAGTAACCGGATCGTTCCTCTTCGGGATTGGAACTTGCTATGTGGAAACTTCCACTATGGGGAAATGTATGGAAAACGGCACAATGATTGAACCTTTCCTTATCTCTGGTGAGAGGTTATGCCAAGCTATCAGCGTGAGCGCCCCTGCATCACCAGATGTGCAGTAAATGTGCACCTAGTTAAACTCTAGGAATACGACAGTGTGTTGGGAAAGCGCGCAGTCCCGATAGGGACAGATGGCCCATCTCAGGGAATCTTTATGGTCCGTTAACTGATTTAGCAGTGCCCTAGGGCGGGAAGTGCTGGTTGTCTGCGAGATGCTCGGCACAGCCGATTGGCTGGAGGCGCAGGTAGAGGTGGCGGAGCAGATCTTGGCGAAAGGCAGTGGATGTGGATGGCTTGGTGGGGGGAGCGGTCTTACGTTCTTGCCAATAGATGACTTTGCCCATCGCATCCGATTGCTCCTTCGCAGTGAAGTCCTGGGTGAGTTTACCGACGGTATTGCCAAACAGGCCAGCCTGGGATATGGGCGACATAAGAAAGCAAACTTTCTCAACTTCGCGTATATCTGCCAGGTTTAGCCAGAGGTGGCACTCCTGGACCACTAATGTTGCCATCGTCCTTCCCAAGGCACACACAGCAGACTTGTGGTTTGTAGAGCATAGTCAGTTGCGGTGCAGGGCTCCTGTAACAAGCCTTGGTCGAAACAACTTGGTGAGCGCCGGTAGGTGGCCATAGCGTGCAGAGTGGAAGCAGTCTATAGTCTATAGCCAACATCTTAAACCAACATCCGATTGACCTCAAAAACTGACATGTATTCGTCAGGTATGGCAACTAAAATCCAATGTCTGATAGACGTCATCGTGGAAACATCCACACAACGTCAAGCTGTAACATCATTAGACATTTATATTTTGTTGTTTTAGGTTGCATTGGAAAGTAACCAAAATGCAACGCCTGTCCAATATTGTATCGACGTCAGCCTTATGTTGGATTCCAACGTCAACCTGATTTTCATTTCCAAACAAAATGCAACATTCCATGATGTTGGTGTACATTGTCGATCTGTCGTCATGTTGACGTCCGATGCCCGCTGGGGGAGGAACAAATCAGAATCACTCTGTGTAGTAATAAACATAATTATAAACTCTTATATCGATTGAGTTTGACTTCTAATAAACACATACACTTTCTGACGTAAAGCTGCCCCCCACTGAATGGGCTTGAAGAAACCAGTGTGCTATTTTCATACATCCTACCAATAAGTGCACACGGCTGATTTCCTCCCCTTATCCCTTCAGTGAGTTTATTGTTCACATGGCCGTGCAGAAAGTCTTCCCCTCTGTGTAATGAGGAGAGTGGCTCAGACTTACTCTGCTACTGTATTGTTCTGTTTAAACACTCATGAGATGTGACTTAAATGGGAGAGCCTCTCTGTTATTAATGTTTTACTTCTTTTACCACCCTGTAAGCTTTTTAAAACTGGTCCGTACTGAGAGCAAATAGAGCGTGGATGAGATTTGCTGTAAAACATGACATCGGCATTGTAGGGTCTTATGAAATAATTATGTTTTCGATACATTTTCTGGTTTATTTTTTGTATTTTATATATATATATATATATATATATATATATATATATATATATATATATATATATATATATATATATATATATAATTATATAATATTTATATAATATATATATATATTATAATATACTGTATATATATCTGAAATCTATGTAATGATTAAACAAAGTATTTTATGTAATTAATTGTATTCATAAAATATCTGGATTTCATGATTGAATTAAATTTTACTAATCAAAAACAATGTCTAAACAGTTGATTACACATCATTTCACAATAATATTGTTTTATGAAAAGCTTTTTTCAGAATAAATTTAAATATTCATGTGTTGTGTATTTTAAGTAAAAAACATAAATACAAAACAAAATAAAAATCATTACAAATGTTACATGGAAATTTATACTATTTATTTAAAAAATAATCATTGTATTATGTATTTATTTATTTAATTATTATTTATGACTAATTTGAAAATTAAAATTATTACTATTTAGAAAATACATATTTCTCTTACAATTTCTCTAAGTTAAATAAATTTAATTAAATTTTAATTTCATATATTAATTTTGTAATTTAATTTAATTTAATTTAATTCTATTTTATTTTATTGATAAGTGCATGGTCAAAAGAGATTTAAGTTTCTCTGTTTATATGATATAATTTATATGTATAATTTACATTTCTGACTGTGCTTCATACAGGTCAGTGGGTTTGACAACCACCTGTAGAAACAATCTTCTCTCTTATTCACTTGACACTTTATTTAAACTCCATCTTACAAGAGCTCAATAATGAAAATGACGTTCTCTATAAATGTACCACAATCATGTTGCACTGCTTGCTTCAACCTTAAATAATCATATTTGCACAGTATTCACTTTTATTACTTCTATTGCACAATATTCTGCACAACATTGTTCAGTCTCATATAAAAGTACTTGTATAGCCTGTCTTATGTGTATAGTTTAATGCAGCGATGTCCAAACTTGGTCCTGGAGGGCCAGCGTCCTGCAGATTTAACTCCAACTTGCTTCAACACACCTGCAAGGATGTTTCTAGAATGCCTAGTAAGAGCTTGATTAGCTAGCCCAGGTGTGTTTGATTGGGGTTTGAACTAAACTTTGCAGGACACCGGCCCTCCAGGACCGAGCCTGAACATCCCTGGTTTAATGTATCTTATAGTATTTGTTAGTTTTGCATAGTTTTTTTAAGTAACTCTTGTGTCCAGTGTTGTGTTTGTATTTATGATTAATTATGTAGCACCGTTGTCCTATAAGACTTGATATTTCGTTTAGCTATACTTCCACACATGTAGCGGAATGACAATAAAGCTCAACTTGACTTTAATTTAGTGTCTAGATTCTGTGATTCTTACAATGTTTTTCACATCACAGAAATCTTAGGGCCCTAATCTTGGCACATATACTTCGTACAATCATGTAGTGAAGATATTTCTGTGTTGGACTTGTCTGACCCAACCGACTTTAGAATAATGTTGCTCAAAATAAAAACTTCCCATCAGCCATTATTAATGAGTAAGGGATGGCTTCAAATAAGACTCCCTGTTCTTCAGCTTTCATGTCTCCACCAAACCATAATGCTTTCATTTTAAAATCATAAAGAAATATTATGCCTTTGTGAAGAGCCCCCAAGGGTTCATAACACTCTCTGTTCTTACAAAGTGAATAGAGGAGGAAAGAGTTACAACACACTGTTGGCAAAAACATTAGAAATGGGACATCGGTACACAAAACATGATCTTTTTTGGAAGGAAGAACAATTTTCACTAACATCAGCAGTTGAAGGATCCTCAGTGGAAATCACTCTGGGCCGTTGCCTTCAGCTGAGGAGTGTGATGCTAGCTGTACTTCTAGTTGTGTGGAACAGTGTGTTTGAGACTGCATTAAACAGGACCAAAGGTAGAAAAATGACAAAAAAGTCTTCATAGTTGCTGACACACCATTTTTGTGGTTGCAGGATGGACCAAGTTTGCCAGGCTGACCAGGGCATTAACCAACAGCCGAGGTACGGTTCAGCAGCTCACCCCCATGAACAAGACTGAAGTCAGTCACAAGCATTCACGACTGGCAGAGGTGAGTGTCATATACTGTACATTTTTTTCATCCTTGTTGAGCCTTTCCATTGACTTTCATACTAAAGCCATTTCTACACGTACACAGGAATTTTTATAAACTGGGTTTTCCCTTTTTTCAATAATAAGAATTATTAATGACTATAATACTTAATTATAATAATTAGGTATTACTTATTAATGCAAATGTGAGAAAAAAGGCAGATTAAATGTTATGGATTTGCTTGATTGTCATCTTCTGCATTGGGTGTGAACCAAGCGGCAACTTCCCACTCTCCCTCATGAAGCCAATATGGATTTAACTGAAACTGCAATTCATCCGCTCGCCTTTGGGGGGTGGCTCCAGGAAATCCAGATGTCCACTGCATGCAATGCTAAACTGGCTAATGTTAAAGCTGATAACAACGTCTTTACAGTCTGGTACAAAAGATCCTTTTGGTGTAAATAGCTAATATTAACTTTCATGACAACTGTGAGGGGGTGAATTTGTTTACAACTCATAAGTTTGCATAATTAAGGGTGTGGCCACTTGAGTGACAGCTATGTGTTTAATAGTGACTAATATGGCATGCTGTGTGCATTTAATTGTGTTTACAAACCATTCAAGTGGCCTCCATTTCCCAGGTGAGTGAAATTACATACTTTATATACAATGAATGTATTAGTTTTATTAATAATTTATCATTCATATATTTCTTTAGAACTGTAATGCACTACAGAATCTGACAGATTAGCTGTAGGTTATAAAACAAGTATTTGAAGCGTTGTTGTACATCGTTATGCCTGGATTTCATAAATAGTCTTGCATTTGCTAACACAGACTATTTTTGACGTGTTTGAAAGTAATTCATGTTTGCCTCCTGTTGAAAAAACAACTCCTGTCATAAAAACAATGCTTATGGGCTTGATGCATTACAACAATGTTTTAAAACAACCAACACAACCAAGCACATGTGGTCAGAACACAAACGAGTCTGAGGTAATGAAGTATTAATCGTTTATCAAAAAGAAAAGCCTGTCTAAGCAAAATGCTAGCAGGCATCTGTCTCTCCACTGACGCTCCGCCTCTTTTACCTTGTTTGTTAACCCCCGGTCGGTGTGATGACAATCGAACAAAATGGCAACGATTGGCCAGGCCTACCTGTAGTTTCATTTGCCCACTTCAGAATCCTATGGGTGACATCACAGTTGCTACGTCCATACCTTTTACAGTCTATAATGTGAACCCAGCCAAGTTGGCCTATCAGAAAGGAGAAAACAGCACACATGCTGACATCATGAGGCAATAGCTCTGGTTGTACTGTCCACATTATCACACTGTACCCAGAGTTTCAGAAAATCTTCACTCTAGTTTGAGTTTTTAGAAAGTTTTGGTTTAAGTCACACAATAATTTAGTGTGGGCGAGGCAGTGGCGCAGTAGGTAGTGCTGTCGCCTCACTGCAAGAAGGTCGCTGGGTCGCTGGTTCAAACATTGGCTCAGTTGGCGTTTCTGTGTGGAGTTTGCATGTTCTCCCTGCCTTCCCGTGGGTTTCCTCCGGGTGCTCTGGTTTCCCCCACAGTCCAAAGACATGCTGTACAGGTGAATTGGGTAGGCTAAATTGTCCGAAGTGTATGAGTGTGTGTGTGAATGTGTGTGTGGATGTTTCCCTGAGATGGGTTGCGGCTGGAAGGGCATCCGCTGCGTAAAAACTCGCTGGATAAGTTGGCGGTTCACTCCCCTGTGGCGATCCCGGATTAATAAAGGGACTAAGCCGAAAAGAAAATGAATGAATGAATGAATGAATGAATGAATAATTTAGTGTGAACAAACAGCGAAACCTCATAGAAAAAAGTGTGGTTTTGAAAATACCTGTTTGTGTGGACAGGGCCTAAGATTATATTTTTTATCTCTTAATCATAAATTTGACCTTTATAAAAGACTATTTATATTTTATTTTTATCAGCAGAGCTTTTGGCTTGTCAGGCTTATTTAATTGTCCTGGAGGAATTTGGATTTATAGGCAAAACCTGATCCACACGCACATGTTGGTTTTGTGGGGGTTTATGAGGACTATCTATTGACCTTATTCTTGAAGTATGAGCGGATGCAGCCATTTGATTATTTTTGGTTCAAGACCACCGATCTCATTCACTTTCAATGTTTATGCTGCTTTATGTTGCAAACTGATCTTTTCATATTATAATATTCTACTTTTTATGCTTAGTCAGAAACACACTTGTTTGCAGAGCAAGTGGTTTGACCGTCTTTTGCCGTATTTTTATTCTTCCTCTATTCCTCTATTTTCATTTCTCCCTTCTTAGGCGACTGAATCGGAAGTTCTTAAACAATCACAAAGCGGGCACAGTTCCGCATTGAACGATAAGGTCAATAAACGTAATATGTTTTATACAGTAAAACATGCTCATTATATCATCTTACCCTACTCCTACTGCAAAACCCAACCATCACATGAAACGTGGAAAATTTGTGAATGTAAAAAGATCCTGTTAAGTATGATTTTTAAGCATTATGAATTACAAGGACACAATGTATGTCCTCATAAACCACCTCAGCATTGTAATACCTTCATCATATTCATGTCATTTTTCAAATGTGTGTCCTCATAAACCATCAAAACCAGTACACATGCACACACACACTCACATATGCACTTACAAAAAAAAAAACATAAAAAGGTCAGCTGTCTTTGTCTTCTGTCCCACATTGCAGAAATAAAGTATGACTTTGCTTCCAGACTAATGATATTTGACTCAGCTGATCAGTCAATGCTGACATAAGCTTTATGTCTCTAAAGCTTGGGTGTATTATATCTTATGATGCCCTTACAACATGAATGGCCCTTTAATTAATGAGGTACAGTGCAATACATATTCCTTACAGTGCATATTATGGACAAGGAAAAAGACCAGCTTATGCCAGCATTAGACTTTGCACCACACTTTTTTTGAGTGGTTCTGTTATTAAAAGTTGTCTGTAATGAAGTGATGTATTGTAAAATTTATATTAAGGGGCCGTTTACAGTCAAAAATGACAAACGTTTTATGTGTACTGCCTGTTTGTTTAGATAACAATGTTGTTTTTGTGACTGAAAACATATACATCTAAAACAGTTTTTTTAAGGGGAAGTTTAGAAAACACAGCCGTTGTTGTGTCCTCGTAAACACAAAAAAACAAAAGTCTTTGAAAATGATGATTTATCAAGTACCCATCGAAACAAAAGAGTGACAGGAAAGCAGGAGATAAAACAAGAAACACAAGTGCTAAATATAAATATATTTATATTTAGATGTGTAACAGCACATGTATTCAACCAGAACCATCTTGGTACGAGGGTCACCATTAGGTTCACACACTCTCTCGATGAATACAGTCTGTCCAAATGTGTGGCACTGTTAGACAGAAAAGACCACATCAGTGCAACAACTGAGGAGCATTCTGAAAATGCGAGATGCATTGCACATTAGTGGTTCCACCATGTTGCTGTTGTCATGCCAATGCTACCATAAACAAACACTCAAAAAATATTTTTTTAACTTGTTCAAACTACTTAATTAAAATGAGCTGAAACAACATAATTCTTGAGATTTCATTAAGAAAACTTTTTTTTTCATGTTCAATCCACATAAGTTTGTTAAACATGTTAAGTTAAATTAATTTGTGTTGGGACAAAATGAATGAATTGGGTGGAACACAATTTTTTTTTTACAGTGAAGAAGTGCGCAACACCAATCCCGCTTCCAAGTTGTTCTAATTGGTCCACTGATCTGGAACTAAATAAGCATTGGTGCTGATAAAAAAGTTGAAGTAATTTTATCTTAACATGATACAAAAACAAAAAACCTGGTGCTGCAAAAATTGCCACAAAAGAAATGATCACGCACATCCATTAAAAAATAGAAATTTTAAATTCTTGTGCGCACGTAAGTCAATCTCTAAGTAAGTGAGTCCCTTCTCTATGCACAAACTATAATATTGAACAGTTGTTGTTTGCTGCCTCTGCTGTTATGGATGGACACAGTGCTGGCATTTTTTATTAAACAAGATTTCCCTTTTGAATCTTACTAAATCTTAAATTTATTACACAAAACACAATTGTTTTTCTGGTGAGCTTAATCTTTGAAGGTTTAATGCACAATTTCCTAATTATAAAGTTTAATTTTTCATTATTGTGTCTATTTCAGATTTTGCATCATTAGAAGGTCTCATATAGGTCTAATTTATATGTATGGGTTTACAAAAATAAGCTTTGATAATACAATTATAATCCTGTGGTGACACCATGTTCACCTAAAACGTGCAGCTATCTTAAAGTCTGGCCCAAATCTCTTTATCTTTACAACAAACAAACAAGCAATCAAACAAATAAGTTTTCAATATTTTTCTTTACTCTGTTTTCAAGGCTCTTCAACTGGGCTCCGACATTCTCCCTCAATATAAGCAAGAGGCTCCTAAAACTCCACCTCATATTATATTGCACTACTGCACCTTTAAGACCACTTGGGACTGGGTTATTCTCATCCTCACCTTCTACACAGCCATCATGGTGCCCTACAATGTGTCTTTTAAGACCAAGCAGAACAACCTGGTGTGGTTGGTACTGGACAGCGTGGTGGATGTCATCTTCCTAGTGGATATTGTGTTGAACTTTCATACAACTTTTGTGGGACCTGGAGGAGAGGTCATATCTGACCCAAAGCTTATACGCATGAACTACTTGAAGACCTGGTTTGTCATAGACCTGCTGTCCTGTCTACCCTATGACATCATCAATGCCTTTGAAAACGTGGATGAGGTAAGCAATTTTTCAAAGACATTTATATGCATGGAGCTTTCTAAGCTAAATTTGTCTCTGATGCTTTTCTGATGGAATGCAATATTGGATTAAAATATAATTTTTTTAGAATTTCTCAGTTAAATTGAAATATATATGAGTAGTAGTGCGATATGGTTTGAGGCCACAGGCTGAGAGCATTAATGTCACACCAGTGACAGTATACAGCCACATCGCACTGCTACGAGTGTGATATTGCGTTTATACAGCAGTTCCACGGCACAATCGTGTATGTATAAAAGAAAATGAAACACGGAAAGTCTCAAAACCCTTTTGTATGAGGGACTACTTTCTTTTGCCATTCATTCACATCTGCAGCTGATTTAAGAACAGCAGAATTGGTTGCTACTTCACAAACGTCACTTTAGAGCTAGTATTTGAATGATTCTCTTGCGTGATGTCTTAAGTGATGACAAAACAGGTAATTTTGCTGACATTTTAGGAATATAAGACTGAACGGTATGAAATGTCATCAGTCTACAGAGATTTTCCAGTATTTCTGTTTCCATGGGGAGAACACAATAATTAACCCCGAAAAAGCCAAAGCAAAGTGTGGCGAGTGAGGTGGGGCCGAGAACAGTGATGGTATACGAGGCAGGTGAGTGAGATAATCAGAGACACCAGGACGCATCACCTGCCTCAAGTCTCACGGAGGAGACAGGGAAACTAAAAGGAGAAGAGAAGCCAGTGCTAGACGAGACAGGACCAGGCCCGGACATATTACTTTTACATTTTACTTTTTCATTTAGTTTGACAGCATTCTCTGTGAAGAGTTGCCTACCGTTTCTTTTATTTCTTCATTAAAACTCATGAAAAGTTGAGTCGATCGCTTCACTGGTTCAGAAAGCTTCATTTCACTATCACTAAATGTCAGTATGTAGGCAAGAGGTCATACAAGGTGGCAGAAAATCTAAACGGGAAACAGACTGAGAATCAAAATACGGGAACACAAACTAGGAGAAGCTCTTCGTAATATTTGTGATAGAAACACGACTCTGCAATATGCGAATGAAGGTGAGGTGTATTTATAGTCCCTGTAATTAATGCAGAGTTGTGCAGCTGTGTCTGTGTGTAAGTGTCTGGATTGTTGTCAGCTGTTGCAGGAGTTGATGAGCGCAGGAAGTTCTAGGAGCTGTAGTTCGTTCAGCAGTAATCTCCAATAGAGAAAACCCCGCTGGCAATTGCAACAAACTAATAAAGTAATCGCCAGTTGCGACAACACGACTGACTATCACAAACAATGAAATGTTTATTAATTCCCCATATTAACATATTGGTGCGATTATATAAAGGAAAGTATGATATTTCAGAATTTTTTAAAGACATTATAAAAAAGGTTATTTTAAAAATCACAATATTGCTATTTATACTGTATTTTTATGATGATATTTGATTCAGTAAGCTGTTTTTGTATTTTTAAGTGAATCAGAAACACGTATGAATGACTTATGAATCTTTTTTAATTAGGATAACTCACTTGCTAATTCAATTGCATGTGTGAATTGCTGCTGTCAGAATGACTTTACTCAGTACTTGAGTAACTTGAAAAACAGATTTAACGACCATGGATTATTTTACTCTGTGTATTATGTCTTTAATTCAAATGAACTGCCGAACAAATATCTTTTGTTTACATTACTTTTGATCATATTAGATTGTTCTCAGATGTCCAATTACAGTATGGGCACAAATCAATAATCCTTCATCTTCTTTGCTTTTATTACTCATGGTGTTATGTTTATGGATTAATTCCAATCAAATTTTCCACTCTCAGCTCTTGTGTTATAATTGATCCTCCTCCATGTTTCTGAAGTTGGTGATTATTCATCTTTGGAACTGTTTTTGGGTAATTACTGTTTGAGCAGTTTGACTTCTCCAGCATACATTTCCATCTCTTATTGAGAAGAAAGAAACTCGTCTTGTGTTCCTCTCTCTGCAGTGCTGCATGCTTGTTTTTTTTTTTTTTGTAAGTGTCAGTAATGCTTTATGAAACTCCCGAAAACTGTATCCATTACTGCCATTTCTTTCCATATCAGTGGCTGCTCACGATACTCCACATTAGCCTAAATGATCTCAAGCCAGCCAGAGAGTTCAATGAGACAGTAAGTGGGCTGGTTCAATTTTTAGAGTGTGTGTAGTAGATGTGTGATGTGTGCTCAGAGTAGACACGAGGATAGACTGAGAAGGAGTTGTGTTATGCTTCAATCTTATTATCAATGCTCAGGTACTGTATACTTTCACCTCGGGGGACTGTATTTACAAGACAAGTGGTTTGAAGGGGCCCTGTTATTCTTTTTACAACTTTAACTTTTTATTGCTGTTTTTGCATTAAACATTCTACAAAATCTAAATAAATTCAGTCAGTTAAGTCACAATGTGAATTGCTCAGTGTTTCAGTGTTTCTGAACTTCTTCAAACACCTTGGATGTGGTCCTTACCACCTAAGGAATGCCCAAAAGACAAGACTTGGTTTTGTATTGTTGCATTGTCCAATAGATAATAATTTACAGATATTAAACTAATGCACATTGGGAAAATGTGTTTTTAATCTGTTTACATTAGATGCATTTCCATTAATCTTCAACTTTGGAATTGTGCAATATAATATATGCACATCTACCAATATTCATAGCCATTATTTTTGTAAAGACTTTGTTTAATGGAAATGCTGTCATTTCACATTTTTGTAATGTAAATCAAGTTAGTGACAACTTTAACCAACGTTATATGAACTTTAGTGTGGTTTTGACTTGACCATTTGTGTAATTAATACAACCATATATTTTCAAAAGGCCAAAGAAAATAAATAAATAAATAAAAAAGGAATATGCATATATACAGTACAGTATATAGGCCACTTTATTAGGTACCCCCTGTGCCTTCACAACTGCCCTAATTCTTTGTGGCATTGAACAAGGATTGAACAAGGTACTGGAAATTTCCTCATTTTCTCTTTTTTTAAAAAAATATTTCCTAAATGATGTTTAACAGAGCAAGGACATTTTCAAAGTATGTCTGATAATATTTTTTCGTTTGGAGAAAGTTTTATTTGTTTTATTTCTTCTAGAATAAGAGCAGTTTTTTATGTCAATACTATTAGCCCCTTTAAGCTATATTTTTTTCCATAGTCTACAGAACAAACCATCATTATACAATAACTTGCCTAATTACCCTAATCTGCCTAGTTAACTTAATTAACCTAGTCAAGTCAAGTCTTTAAATGTCACTTTAAGCTGTATAGAAGTACAAAAAAAACCTCTCTCTGTTAAACAGAAATTGCTGGAAAAATAATTCAGGGGGGCTAATAATTCTGATGCATCACGGGATAGCGTAGCGTCCATCAGATGCGCACTTCAGAATCTGTAGTGATTCTGAAGTGCGCATAGGAGATCACCCAGGTACTTCTTGCAAACTGTTTTTTGAATTCTATGAATTCGAACATACTACTTGGATTGCATACCTTTTTTAGCATACTATATAGTATGGAAGTACGTGATTTCAGGTGCAACCCAGGTGACAGCCTAACTTCTGTGCTTGTGGTTAAAATCAGTGTTCTCTCTGTGTAGAAAGAAGTGTTGTTTAGGAACTGTAGAAAAAGGAGTTTAAACTGGCAAACTTTTAAATACATGGAGATATTTTGTTTATTGTTGCCGGAGTATTCAAGACTCAAGCTATAGAGACACAACCCTCTTCTAGAAAGGAGGCAGTTCATGTTGCCTTTAAAGAGAAGATAATAAAACAAGACCCTGAAGTACCTTTTTGCACCTTTAGTTTAGAGCTTATAACTCATTTTAGGGAAAAAAACTTGTATCACAAGGACCCATTGTGGACCTTTAAATGTCCAGTTATGGGTTTTGCATCCCTAGGTAAAATTGTACCTACTTTTAAAAACTTTTTTTCCTGACAGTGATGATGATCTCTTTTTTCAGTCTCTATTCAATAAATGGTAAACAAATGATATGTTCTTTAGTGTTCAATAGAATTTTTTTTTTTATAGTTGAGCTATCTCTTTAAGGGTTCTCAAAATAGATGATAGAGTGCTGATAAACTTTTATACCTGTGTTTTGAGTGTTAAGCACTTCCATTACCTTTTTTTACTTTAGCGTACATGAAGTTTTCTGATGGACTTGCAGGACATTTTGCTCACCAGACTTTTTTTTTCACTATTATATTCATTCTTGAGACATCAGTTCAACTAATATGGAGTGCTGGGAAGGACTGTATCATCCGAAAAACTTTAATGGGTGCAAGAGCCCTAATGGAGGTTGGATTGGCCAACTATGGACATTAGGAGTAAAATATTATTACCCTACGTTATTAATCCCTCCATATGCATGGTATGATATATTTATCCAATAAAATAACTCTTCGGACTCTCACTGGTGCCGGTGTGTTAACGGTTGCCCAGGCAACAGGCATCCTCTGCCATTGTGGTGGTGCTGTTGTTGGAATGCATGAGTCTCTGCACCATTGGAACACAATGAAGTCCCAAAACTGCAGTGTGCCCAGATCTCAATAAAGTGTTCCTGTGGCATCTGAGACTGCATGTGTTGCTGAATCACTTCTGATGGGGTGAATAGTGCATGCTGAGTTCAGCTAAGGACACGTATGATGAAGTAATGTCTGATTGAGCTGCAGATTTATTGCTTTATTTATATTTCTGTTTTATTTTCGGAAATAGGCTCTTTTAAGCTACCTAGAGTTGCATTTAACCATTTCTGAATCTATTTATCCTATCTCCGCGTATGGCACTTTTAGCTAAGCTTAGCATCAATCATTGAATCAGATTAGACCATTAGCATCTCGTTCAACAAAAAGGTTTGAATAATTTTTCAATTGAACCTAGAAAATAGCAACTTTTCATTTTTCGTTGGTCATTGTACATGATGTGACTACAGAAGAGTAAAGCTGTATATAAGAAAATAATCAAAACTCTTGATTTTTAATACAAAATACTTTTG